AAGTTTTCTATTTTCATTAGTCATAAGTTTGGTACGAGTGATTATTGAGGAGAGTTGTCACTACTGCCGAATTGTTGATCTTTATTAAAATCGATAACAATACAATAATAACTAGCATTAGAGTTTGATTTTTAGGAAACTGGCTTTTCAAACTCTTCTAATATATTTTTGTTTTCGGAAAATTCATCATCACTATCAGTAAGTTTATTTGAATCTTTATCAGATTTAGTTAATTCACATGTTTTTCTTAATGATTGCTAATCAAATGTAAAAAACTCTTCATCATATTCTATTACAATATCAACACTGGATCTTTGGCTAAAGTCACTATCAACTACGTTATCGAGTAAAGCTTTAAATAAGAGCTCTTCTATGTCATCTGTTTTTATTGCTATAATTTGATTAATTAAAGAGCTGAATAATTAGGTTTGTTTTTTTGTAAAGCTGAGTTTAGCTTAGTGTAGTAAACTAGAAAATGAAAATAGGTATTTATAATAAATATAAAAAGAAATAAAAAAAAATGAAGTAATAAGTAGATATTAATAAAAATTAGATAGAGAATTCAATTAATATAATAAAAATGATAATAATAAGATGTAATTAGCAATCAATTAATAAATAATTTAAGAGAGATTTTAAGAATGACAACAATGCAATAGTTAATTAAATCATGAACTGAATAAGTTGATAATCAGTTAAATGAAATAATAATACAACAAGTCAAATTTTAACAATATAATAATACAACAATAAAATAAGTGGAAGAATTTGATAATTGTATATAAGTTGCTTTCAGTTTTGAAATGCTTAACTTATATTTATTAGTTTATCAGATAGACCGAATTCTGAGAAAACCTTTATTGAAGTAAAAACCAAGAATTTAAATACAAGTAAAAATCTTCACAGCATTCAACTTCTGGATGAAACAACTTTCTTTTTTAAATAACTCAATGATAACAATATGAAAACAATATCGAATTATTGAGAAAAGTTTACAAATTCTCTTTTGTATATTCTATACTAAAGCAATACTCTGCAAAAATCAAATCAAATTTTGAATTTGATCAATTATTTAATCAAATTAATTAAAAATTTAATCAAATAATTTTAAATATTTGAATCAAATTTAACATTTGAATTGATTTTGTGAAGTACTAGTAAGTTACTCAAGTAACTACAATACTTTCACCAAATTATCACTATTAATTACATATACCATAATAGAAAATAACAGTAATTGATCTATTGTGTACTAAAAAAGGAATAGTGTAGTAATTGATCTATTATGTACTAAAAAAAGAATAGTATAATAAAGGCAGTATCATTTATTATCTGATTATTTTTTATTAGAGGCTTACCCTCTTCCCCTCTTAATATAAAAAAAAATCAGGTTCTTATATATAATTTTAATTTTTTTATCCCCCTCCTTCTCTAAAAAATTACCTAATTTTTGTCATATCTCTAATTGATCTATCGTATATTAAAAAAAAAATAGTATGAATTTGTTCTAAATACTTTCCTTATATATAATGATTCTAATCGATAGATAATATGATAACAATAAGTATATGATAGTTAATCTATTTTTGGAATTCAATAATCTGAATATAGATATAACAAAAATAGAAATGATATTAAGGTAAGAGTAATAAAAAAAATAATAATAATAGATAAGAAATAGTGCAAAACAATAAAGTACTGTATAAAAAATTTTGAGTAACAACATTATATATATTTGAAAAAACTAATAAAATTATAAATTCTATTTTAATTAGTTTTGCTAGACATAGTGTAAATGGCATGGTGACCCAAGATATGCTTTTTTTAAAAAATTTACTATATAACAAATTTGTTAAAGAATTTTTCTGTATCTTCTACTCTAGTTAGATAAAAATATAGTTTTGAGTCTTACTACTAGTAATTTATTGTATCTATCAGATTAGAGTTTATAAAATTCATGAGATAGAGTTGTTAATAGAGTAGCTTACTCTGGAGCACTTCTGAGTAAAACTCAACTCAAGTTAAAGTAAGTTAAGATTATGTTTTTAAATTTAAAAAAATCTTGAGCCACCCAGAGTACTATAGAGCCACTCAGAACAAAGTATTAAAGTAAGTCTAATTTAGTAGAGTGGATTAAAGATTGGGTCAACCCAAACCAATCTAACCCAACCTATTAACAACCTTATCACAAGAACAAGCTTACAGAAATTGCAACATTTCTGGGATGGTCAAATTTGCTTTCACAGTTAATATTTAATAAGTGCAATTTAAATATTTATAGATTTGAATCTTTTTTGATTATATTATTTATATTGTTTTATAATTTTTTTTTCAGAATTAGAAACTTCATCGTGAGTCATATTTTTTATAAAAATATTGTGGTTTTCTGTTTATATTTAAATAAAGATAAGCAAAATAGCAGAATTAAGCTTGTTTTAATTTGTGTATAATTAAAATCTTCAAATTTTGACTTGTATACATGAATTCTATGTCAGGTTTATTAATTATTTGGTCTAGATTAAGCCTATATTCTGAAGTTAAAGTTGGGTTAAGCTAGAGTTAGATGAGAATTTAAAGTAAAATTTATACTAAATGATTTTTTTTGTTAAAGCTAATATTTTGCAAAATCAAATCAAATTTTGAATTTGATTCAAATATTTGAAATTACTTAATCAAATTTTTAATTAATTTGATCAAATAATTGATCAAATTTAAATTTGATTTGATTTTGCAAAGTACTTGTTAGAACTAGAGATATACCTGTATGAGATATACTAATATCATTCCCATGCAAATTAATCATATAATCTTGCACGAAACAAAATTTTAATAAGTTATCACTAAGTGCTAAACTCAATTTTATCTTGTATGAAGTCTTCTTATATCTTGTATATCTTGTACGAATCATATAATATGTGGAATATATACTAGGCTTATTATGCAAGAGACACATCTTTAGTTAGATTTTATAGACAATTTTGTGATAGAAAATTCTTAATTTTGTTGATTGTGATCAACAAAACCAGGTACAGAATTCTTATATGCTTTATTATTGCCTACTATTAGTTTTTTTTTATTATTAGACTTTTTCAGTTTTCTTATTATCTTAATATATTTGATTTTTGTTACATTATATTGAGTTTTAATACATCTTTCACAATCTGAGATTTTGTCTGCTAACTAGTACTACAATATTAAGAATTAATAAATACGTTACTTGCTTCTGGTTTATCTTTTGTATTTGGTATTTTTTTTTAATAAAAAAAAATTATTTCAAATTATATTGTTAATTTAAGTTTAAATATTTAGGTTATTATTTGCATCCCGCTCTCACAACTAGCTCAAGTTTATATTAAAAGTTTTTGTGATGATTTATTTATTATTATTATTATCATTTTAATTATTATTTACATTTTTATAATTGTTATTTTTGCTTAAAATATTTTTTAATCTAGCCATGTTTTAAACTTATTTACAAGCACAATACAAATTTATTAATTGGTTCATATATAGTTTTGTTTTTATTAAAAAAAAAAAAAATCAAATTTTACATAATCAATAAACTAACAATAAATTCGAACTAGAAAATGTTTTGTCAAATCTTTAGAGTATACCATATATACGTGAAACAACATGCATATTATTTTAATATGCTTACCTAAAAACCTTTAATAATAAATAGTTTATTTAATTTTTTAATCCCAACTAAGTATTCATAGCATTAACTGAGTCTAAATATTCTATTCATACTTTTAGATTTGATAATAAATCTATTATAAGAACAATTTTTAAAACTATTTCTTAGTTCTTTAAAAAGTAATTATTAGTTAGTACAATATTTTTGTGAAGTATATTTACTAATGACCCAAGTTTATTATATTCAAGATTCAAAGAATTAGCGTGATATTCCTATCAAGTGCATTTGCTAATGATTTTTTACCTTTCAAGATTATTATATTCAAGCTCAGAAAAGTTAGCATAATGTTTTTATAAAGTATATTCACAGATAACTTCTCTCCTCATTATCTGAATTTATTATATTCAAGATTCAATGAAATCAGTATAATGTTTCTGTAAAGTATATTTGCTAATGATTTTATCTTTTCCAAGCATTCAAGCCCAGAAATAGTGTTTCAAAGTTCAGTTCAGTTCAATTTAGGTTCAGGTTCAAGTTCAATTGAACCTGAACTAAACTTTAAATTTTGCAAATCTTTGAACCTGAACCTGAACCGAACTTTAAATTTATGAACTTGAACTGAACCTGAACTTAAAGTTTTGGTTTAGTTCAAGTTCAATTCAAGTTCATGAACATGTTTAAGTTCAATGAATTATATATATATATTATATATTGTCAAATAATTTACCTTCAATAATAAGCTATTTTCTTTTTTTTAGAAGAAAACCACAATATTTTTATAAAAAATATGACTCACGATGAAGTTTCTAATTCTGAAAAAAAAATTATAAAACAAT